AGGTATCAAACCCTGACCTCCTGGTTCATAGGTCGACGCTCAATCACTGAGCCACCACATGGCTGGTCTACCATATTTTTTGATCCACTCATCAGTCGATGGACATTTAAGTTGTTTCCACCTTTTGACTATCTTCTCTATCTATAAAAGCCTAATATGCAAATGTCCCCTCGGGAGTTCGACCGACCTGGGAGTTCGATAGCTCGCTATGATGTGCACTTACCACCGGGGGGCAGCATGGAACGAAGGAAGGCCCCAGCTGGCAGCCGCTAGGGACCCTACCTGTGTATGAATTTCGTGCACTGGGCCTCTAGTTATGAATAATGCTGCTTATGAGCATTTGAATACAAGTTTTTGAGTGGAATCACTGGGTCATATGGTAACTTTGTTTAACTTTTTGAACAATGGCCAGACTGTTTTCCGAAAGTAGTGGATGAGAATTCCAATTTCTCTACATTTTTGTCAACACTTGTTATTGTCCATCTTTTGATTCTAGCCATCCTAGTGGGTATGAAGTGGTGTATTTCATTTGTGGTTTTGGTTGGCATGTCCCTAGTGGCGAATAATGGTGAGCATTTTTTTTTTTTCCATTAAAACCTTATGTGGTTTTAGGAGTAAATCTTCCTAAATAAACATGACTTTTTAAAACTAATTGTAATTCAAGCCTGTAAGTCCCAGGGTCTTGGTCACTGTCACAACTGTAACAGTCATTTAGGGCAGGTTGGATAAGCAAGTCGGTGACGATGCAGAGTGAGTTTGCCTGTGGATTAGCTGAAATGTAAAAAGAATAAGGATGAGTTCAGATCCTTCTCAGAATTTTAGGCCTTCATCCTGGTGTCTGTCTGCATACAGGCCATCATTCTTTACCTCTCTGTGTCATTTTCTGTGTGCTGCTGCATTGAGATCGGGCCTTTGGATTGTTGTTGATGCTTTATTTTAATTTTCTTCCAGTGTTTTGAGCATTCTTGGCCCCAGAAAGCAGTTTTTGCCTGTTTATCACCCTTACCTCTCTTCATGCAAGAGGCCATTCACGTAATGGGATGTTTTCAGATAACTTTTGTAGAGTCTTTGATTTTCCCACTTGTTCGCTGTAGCATACCACTGTTTTTTTTTCTACCCATTAAATGCCATTGCAGAAAAAGAAGTGAGTGTTTTAAAGAATAGGGAAATAGCAGAAATCAAGAGTGATTGGAGAGAACTGTCAACAAATGCTACTTTTCACATCATTTTCACTTTAAAATGTTTAAATACCATGTGCTATAAATGCCACTTACTGTCACACTTTCAGCATTAGAGATGCTGTTTTAAAACCATGTGGCATGGTTTTAGTTTGGGTTGGGTTCAGTTTGTGATCTGTGTGACATAGTTTTTCCTGAGGTTATACGGGATTAAATTCAAGTTGATTCCGTGGTTGGTGATGAAGAACTTAGCATCTAGTGAGGGTGAGGTGGGCATCGGCCTTCCCGTGTATTCTGGGTGTCTTTTCCTGTTGTATAGGCAGCTCTGTGGTGATAAAGCACTGTGCCACACCTGACTGAGAAACAAAAATGTGGAAACCCGGGACTGATACTTGAAGCTCTGAATGTAAACAGCCAAGTCAGGTTCATTATAGTAGCAGTGAATTACAAGTCAGAATGTGTGGCTGTTGTTTGACATGGATGAGGTTACTTTATTCCTTGTGGGTTTTCAGTATCATTAACTCAGGGTTTGGTGTTTGTTTTACGTGGCTCACTCTCAGCCTATTCACTTGTCTGGGAGAGGGCAAGTGCATTCATCACCTCACCCCCAACCTAACCCTTTCGTAATCACCTTTGAGCACCAGAACACTGATATGTAAGTTACCTGTGTAGTCCTTTTCCAAGTTGTTTTGTAGAACAGGAAGTTTTTGTTTGTTTTGATTTGAAATTGTTGGTTGCGCCAAGTCAAGGAAGTAGGTGCTCTTTTTTTGTGTGTGTGTGACAAGGTAGTGACGACGGGAAAATGAACAGTTGACTGTTGAGAAGTATTTTTATTTTTTTTAAACAATTTGACAAGTCCTTGGATGTTTAAGAACCTGAATTCTAATGTAATGAGACAGAATTCCAGCTTAGATCTAGACCAGAATTTTTCAACCTCAGCACTATTGACATTTTGAGCTTTATAATCCTTTGTGGTGGGGGTCCTGTGAATCGTGGGATGTTTAACAGTATCCTTGGCCTCTACCCATTAAATGCCAGTAGCATTTTATCCCCAGTGTGACAACCATAAATATCTTTAGACTTTGCCAAGTGTCCCTGTGTTGGGGCAAAGGAGTGTCAAATTTGCTCTGTTTGAGAGACCACCTGTCTAGCTTGATAACTTGAATAACCAGCTGTATTGCTAAAAACCATCATTGCTCATCAAAAATGCCTTTTCTGATAGCTTTATTAACTGTTTTGTTTGTGTTCTGAGCTGTATAAATCTATAAGCATTAATTTAGGACAAAAGTTTACTCATTAGTATAAACTAATAAATGGATAGATGGTTGAATTTTTCCACTCTTGCTGTCATGTTGAGAAACATTTTATAGTTTCCCAATGATCTGCTCAGGTTTGGGTCTACAGAGGACTGATGCATATAAAATCCCCCAATTGGGAGAGCCATTGGTGGTGGTGGTTGGTTTTTTTGTTTTGTTTTTTGAGGTTTTTCTGGCTGTATTGCTATGTCAGTAGTTCTTTTATTCTAAAACATATGTTTAAGTAGCATAAATGGTTTTTGTTTTAGTGAAGGTGATGGGTGCTAGATTGCCAGTCTCAGGTAAGCCTTGTTGAGAAAAAATGTTTTTCCAAGGACACATTGGGCAGGTGGGCTGCCTTTTTGGAGTTAATTGTTTCACTCTCTAGGATGAGGGCCCTCTAGTCCTTTCAATAAATGTTTTATCTTAGAAACACTTCTTATCTGTTAAGCATCTTGTTCTGAGAGAAGCCAGAGCACTCTGTGTTTAGGCTTGATTCTTCTTTATAAACTTCCTCAGAAGAGAGCTGGAGCCAAACAGAGCCTCTTTTTTCAGATGTAGGGATAGGGTATTAGAGAGTGGGGACAGGAGAGTGGGCACTCTTGAGTCACAAACCTCAGATCAAATTCCCACCCATCACTGCTACATCTGCATGGTGCAGGTGAGTCTGTCTCCAGGGCAATGTCCAGTGGTAAGTTTGCAGTATTGCCTGCCCTTGAGCTTCTCATTACCTGGGAAAGGAGAGAAATGTGAGGGCTTTTGTGAATGTGACTATGCTGCTGTGGTCCCAGGGGAAACGCTGTTCTAGGGAACAAAAGCTTTGCAGTCATCCTTCCGGCTATGAGCCCCAAGGCCAGCAACCCTGTCATCTGCGAAATGGGAGCCATGATGCCCACCCTCCCTGCCTCAGGTGTGTTCTAAGCAGAGGCCAGATACTGAAGACGAAAATATTATCTGGGAGTTCTTCCTGGCAGGATAAAGAAGTCAGTGTGAGACAGTGATATCCCTGTTTCCTGGGCCTGCAGTATCTTCAATAGCTGATCCTTGCTGTTGCTTCCTAGTACGCCTTCCATTTTGATAGGATTTGCTTAAAAAACAGCAACACACAAAATGAAGAAGCTCTCAAGATGGCCAAGTTAAGGATGGAAAAACCTAATTGCCTCTAATAATGGACAGTGAGCTGTTTCTTCAAGGGGGAAGCTCAGAGCAGAGATAGGTAGAGGTGGAGTTGCCTGTGGCCAGTTAGGCTCTAGGATATCCCCACTGGGTTATTAGCCTAAACATTGGGTTTAACCACGGGATCTACTTCACAGCTGTGGCAAAGCCCCTTCATTATATAAGCTAACCTTTCTTTTCAACAGCATATCAGAGAATACTTTCCAGGTCATTTTTCTAAAAACTGACTTGGGTTTGGCAGGAAATCAGCTTCCTCCTCGCATATCCAAATGCTGCCTTTGCTCTGACATCAAATCCCACCTCTGAAGTCGACTTTTGGTGACTGGATTCTGGAGTTTTGGGGGAGCGGGGGTGCGCAGGGGGTTGGTAGGGTGGCGTCCTCAACCCTGTAGTTAACTGCCTTCCCCTCTGCTTAGCCTCTCTCATCTTCTTTTGATCAGTGCCATGCTTAATTACCCCACCGCTCTTGCTTCTTGTGTATGCATCACTGCATTTCCCTCCCAGAAGCCGGACATAGCTCTTATTCTCCAAGTAATGATAGTAATTGCTGGTAGGGCAGACCTGGTCCTCATCCTTCTGCAAGCCCATTTCTTATGGCAGGTGTCTAGTTCCTAATTAAGTGCTAATGAGCATGCCTGGCGGACCGTGACACGCTGCCAGCTTCTTCAGTTTTATGTCTTGCTATTGCCAAGCTCTTAAAAGGTGACAGAGCAAGAATTAGTGTCTCTGGGATGACAGGAAGGTGATTTTATGCGTAAAGAAATTGTTATTATGATCTCAAATGGCGAATGAGTAGTTTATAAATACTTTCCAAGAATACTGTTAAAGCTGTCCTCTTGGACTTCTCTCTCCCTTTTCCAACCTCCCTCTAATTAGAATTGTGCTCCCTTTGGAAGTAATGGAAGTTGAAAGAGAACATTGGCTCCTAAAGATTTTTTTAAAGATGCTGGTAGGAGTTGAAGATTTACTGTGAAATGATTGTAAGACACTGATTTCTGCTTTTAAGATGCTGTTTTCTCCTGCTCTTGGAGGGGGAACATGCTCAGGATTCAATTAAAGATCAGTAGTCTGGGTGGGAATTACTGAAGATCTGGTGTGAGGTTTAATATATTCAGTAAACGCCAGGGCATAATAAATAAAACGAGTAATTGAGTCCCAGGGAAGTGCGCACAAATCAGAATCTTAAGATTATTTCCTAACATTACACCTTAGAAATTGAGCTTTAATCGTTTTTACTGTCTCATCAAAAACGAGTTTTCGGTTGGACAGCTGAAATGTGGCCAGATTTATGGTACAAGGGCCATTTCTTAGATACTTTTTCATTTCTACAACATGCTCTTAAATATAATATATAAGAGCAGTGATACTTTTTAATGTGAATAGATTTATGATCTCTGGAATGGGTTAAGCTATAGAGGCAGTGGCATTGGGACTGGGGACTTGGGTGTCCGTGGTTGGTGTCCCATAGGACAGTGCGAGTGATTTCCCGTCAAGGTCTTTGGCCTCTCTGGGCCTCAGTGTTTTCCTTGTGATGTTGAAGGACTGGGTTCGGGTCATGGAGCTCAGAGGAAGTACGGATAAACAACGCTTCACCTTCACAGGCTTCTTCCACCTGTCACATGCCTGGCTCCCTGAGACCTCCCCCTGCATGTGGTGGTTCAGTGATCAGTGAGGCCTAAGGGTCATTCCGACATGGACTCCACTCCCCCCCATCTGCCAGGAGAACCTCTGCAGTTTTCTCAGTGCTTTGAGTTTGGCCCTTCTGTGGAACGGGAATGTTGGGACCTACTCACAGTGAGGGCTTCGTGAAATAAGGACACATGCCTGGGGGTGGAGTGCATAAGAGATGCACCTCTCCTCCTGCTCTCGGAGTTCTGTTAAAGGTAATAGGTTGGTTTTGTTTCGTTATACCATTGTGGTGAGTTAACGCAAGAAGGTTGGGGTGAAATGGAGTCACTTAACTGATGACTACTCAGTTACTATATTGTAGGGTGCATATCTACACTTCCCCAGTTTTAGCCTTTCTGAAATCAGGATGAGTCTTCAATCTGTGGCATCTTAGATTTAATGACATACTGGATTTCATCCCTCAAGGCACTTAGAGATGGAACTAGTTAACATGTGAGGGGCTACTAACTTAGTCAGGATTGCTGATGATAATAAACAGCTACATTTGTAGGGGGTAACTTATGCCAGAAAGTGACAGTGTAAATCTGAGTATTATATTTTGGGAAGATTGTATCTTATCAGGTAAAAGCTTTTGATGAACTAAAAGTGCTAATCACCTTTTTTTTCTCTTTTCCTCCCTCTGTGACCCTTTGTGTGTATGTTACCCTCCTGTTCTGTTCTACATCCTCTCATGTCATGTCTACTTCCCCCGGATGCTGCTACTGCCACCACCAACTCCAACAACAACTCCTCCTCCTCCTTCTCCTTCTCCTCCTCCTTCTCCTCCTCTTCCTCCTCCTCCTCTTCCCTCACCACCACCACCAACAGCAGCAGCAGTTACAAGCTCAGCATCTTTCTCATGGCCATGGACCCCCAGTCCCCCTAACGCCTCACCCTTCGGGACTTCCGCCGCCTGGGATCCCGCCCCTGGGCGGCAGTGCCGGCCTTCTGGCGCTGTCTAGTGCTCTGAGTGGGCAGTCTCACTTGGCAATAAAAGATGACAAGAAGCACCATGATGCAGACCACCACAGAGGTGAGCGGCCGGGCAAGCCAGATTAGGACTTTGTCCTCACACTCATACAGTGCTGCAAAGTTGTGTGCACCGCTAAAGAAAGCCCCAACCTATTCAGAGAGCAAACAATGAGCTAAGAGGAACTGCCGCAAAGCTTGGCCACTGAAATACAGCTCACCCTGGAAATTCTCAGGGTTTAGTGTGGGCATCTGTAGATTTCTCGATCTCTTTAGATTGCAGGCATCTTGACATCTTGGCAACTGCCTAGTTAATGCCAGTGGCCTGTACCATATTATGGAAAACTGTTAACTGCTTAATTGGGTAATTTTCAAAGAAAGTAATGTTGTTAAATGGGGCGAAATAAGAAGTTAAATCTGAAAGTGAATGTGTTCAAATGAGAGGTTTGATAATTGCATCTGTTACTACTTAGCTTCATAGGCTTTAATTCTAGTATGCGTTAAATATTGGGCAAAATTGCACTTGACTAATTTTTTGAAGAAAAGTAATTTATTCTGTCAAGAAATAAAAAAATAGGCTTTGTGTATGGTTAAACTGTAAATCTTATGTTTACAAAATACTGTAATTTTCAGGAAATCACTGTATTAGGAATGTGCAATGACTTATATAAATAAAAGCCATTTTTAAAACTGTTTGGGGCTTGTGTTCTAATTATTCCCCCCTTTTTTTTATTTCTGTTCTTGCCTCTGTGTCTGAACGGGCATGTCTGTGCGTTTCTTGGTAACCTCGGGAACAGACAGAGAACCTGGCACAGTAAGTACTCCAACTCCTGCTGTACACGAACACACCCTCTTCCCGTAGTGCACCCCACTCTGCCTTTCTTTAGACAGCACAGACGTGCACATCTCCCCTGTCTCCCTCAGTAACCAGGTTTTTGCTTTTTTAAAAAAATATGACTATTCCCCACCCAACACTGTATTTTTATAAAACTTTCGTTAGATGAGAGCAACATGATTTTGGGGCAGAGCTGTTTGCTATTATCTGTATGTGCCCCAGGCCCACTTAAAAATATGTTTCCCATTGCATTTTGAGGCTAGGTTGCCTGTAGTTTAAGAGTATTCATTTTTTATCTTAAGTCAGTTTTACAGGCAAGAGGTCACAATCCACATGTGAAATTGGTTAGTAATGTGTTATTTCTACCTGAACCATTTTTTATCCTCTGCAAATGCATCTTAGTTGCTAGGTTTCCATATCTAGTTTTCTTTTTTCATAATTGCCCTTGGAATGTGAACTTGAACTTAAATTTATTTTAGACCAAAGAATTGAGCATCTTAAGTTCTTAAAAACAAGGAAATTCAGCGGCCAGGGGTTCTGTGCTTGGAGAGCTCATCTTTCCACCGGCCTGAATCTCACGCATTTCATACAATGCATGTCTGACCTGCACACATATCCGCCAGTAGCTGTGGGGAGATCTGTATCTAAAATGCATCTCGCAAATGTCATGATCAAATAGAGTGAGAATTGGCCCCTTTTCAGCGACGATAACCTACAGTTTTTGCCTCCTCCCCTCCCTTCTTTTCTTTCTTTTTTAACATGGCAGTATTTTGACCATCTTAAATCTAACTGGTTAAAAAAAAGCGGGGTGGGGGAAGATACTGAACTTGTAAGTCATTCTGATAACTTTTTTGTTATGGGTTTGGGAGGAAGATATGCAATTCTTTTCATTCTGAAAAGTTTGTTTTTTCCCCTCTTCTGTGTAGTGGTGTGTGTGTGTGATGTATCTCTTCTTTTTTTTTTTTTTTAAAAAAGGTTTTTAATTGATTTTTAGAGAGAGGAAGAGAGAGGGAAAGAGGGAGAAACATTTATGTGAGAGTGAAACATGGATGGGCTGCCTCCCGCACGCCCCTACTGGGATTGAGCCTACAACCCAGGCATGTGCCCTGAGTGATAATCGAACAGGCATCCTTTTGGTGGGCGGGACAACACCCAGCCAACTGAGCCACATCCACAAACCAGGATGAATTAGTAGGGACTTTAGAAATTCTCTTTGAGATAGATCTCGGAATACTTTATGTATCAGGATGTGTTGGGAGCAGTGGATAATGGTGAAAGTATGGGGTAGTTAGTTTTTAAATTCTGGTACTGTAAGTTTTCTCTGGAAAATGTTGGGGAGAGAGAAAATTATAGCTAGGGAATAAAATATCCTCACAAAGTACACACTTAAGTAAACTGACCTCGATTTGTGGAGGTGTTTCTGTTTTGCTGTTTCAGTGTCTCTGTAGATTATCATTTTTTCTGTCATGTTCATCATATAGCCGCGTGTCAAATTAAAATCCCTAATCCTGGACCAGAGAACAAACGCAAAAGATGCTGAGAGAGCCCATGTCCTTTAGCGTGCTGCATGTTGTCATTTATTTAACTTACTCTAGGTTTGGGACTTTAACTTTTTATTCTCAGTATTTTGGTTTCACCTTAAATCACTGTATATTTCTTGTTTACTGTATGTACGGTAATAGAGGAAATGCATCTGTAGTTTGGGATACGTAGGCACATACATCACAAGGCCTTTCTCAAGGAACCAAGGAAAGGAGACCACAATCTTAAAAGATAGTCTAGAAAGTTTCATCAAAAGTTCTAGGCAGTCGTGGAAGAGATACCATGCATGGTATGTACCTCTGTGAAATGCCAGTGCATGACAGGAATGAGGAGAGATTTGCATGCTGAAGGTAGTAGGGGCATTTTTCAGATCTCTTTGTATATTTCTAAATGTGTCTAATAACCTCCTACTTGTATTTTTGGCTGAAAAATGTAAGCAAGAACTTCATTCATTGTAGAAGTGATGGTGAGATGGAAGAAGGATGATGAGTTAGGTCCTTAACGAAGGACAAACTGGTTCTTGAATTTCATGCAGCCGTAGATTGTTTTTAAGTCCATATGTTGCGTTAGCAATCAGTGAACATCCAAGTCAAAACGTGGATACATTGCATAAAGCAGTCTGTAAAAATATAAAATGATGTGTTATCTGTATGTTTTCTTTTTCACATGAAATTTTGACAAGTAATGATAATTTCAGAATATTTTCAGAATACGTACTGTGTTTCCTGCTTAATTGTTAAGTTACAAAAAATTGTAGGTGATGATGATATAAAATGGGAAACTACACTAATTTGTAGCATAAACATTTAATTTAACTTCAGTCTCTAGAGGGGACTTAAACTGTTGGGATTTTGCTGCAGTTATATAAAATTAAGTAGCTCTTCAAACTTTGTGTAAAATTGAATATGAGAAGCAATGGATAATAAGATGATGTGTACCATTAGTGCCTAAAATATTGTAGTACTTATCTCTGTAATAAAGTGGTTTGAATTATGAAGTTGAATTTTACTTGGTAGATAGTCAGTTTGCTCTGTAATGCTCTTGTTTCTTTTCACCCAATGAGGGGTCAAGGGTAGTTGAAGTTTTCAAACCTTATGGTCTCAGAATCTTTTTCTGCCCTTAAAATTATTGATAACCCCAAAGAACTTTTGTTTATGTGGGTTATATATTTTGAAATTTTTCTGGATTAGAAAGAAAGTAAATTTTAAAATCACTTAAGCAGATAAAGAACTACTTAATTTGTGGTAACATTAATGAAAAATAACTATTTTCAAAAAAAATACTGTAGTGGGAAGAGTGGCTTTGTCTTACATGTTTGCAAATGTCTTTAGTGCCTGGTTTAAAAAGGATAGCTGGATTTTCATCAACTTATGCATTCTTTCTGTTTTAAAAGATTGTTTGGAAGTATAGGAAGAAAGTCTGCCCTCAAAGAGTTAGGTAAGGATCCCTAGGAACATCAGGGATTCTTGGACCAAACCCTGAGAACTTCTGTGATGAGACTAAGGAGTTCTGAAAAATTCCAGACCCATCTATAGGCTTATGTTTTCCTGCTCTTCTTCCTATATTGAACACACATTATTTATATTAAGTGCAAAATAGATCCAGAGGGGATGTGAATGTGTATAAATTTGTATCTGTAAGTCTAAAACTGGTTTGAAGGTCGTGTTTGCTTATTTTTTAGTGACAAAATTATTCCATTTGCTAGTTTAAGGTTTTATGGTAGGAAAACACATGAGCCTAATGCAACCTGTTTTAATGTAAAACCCAGGAAATGAAAGCACTAAGAACAAGGTGAAAACATGGACACTATGTGTAAGTGGCTTGTTTCTGAAAGGGATGAATGATAAAGCCAGTAACTTTTAAGAGGTTTATGTTGCTGTCTGGCTGTTGTTTATAAATGAAGATTTGACTAGTGCTTTGCTAATTTGCAAAACTTGGTTGTTGTTTTTAACATGAGTGTACTATCAGAATGCTACTTACTGTTGAACAAAGAAATATTAAATGACCTAACAAAGGCCTTTATTTCTTCAGTAATAATAAAAACTTTAGATATTTCAATTAGAGATGAATTATATTAAATTTTGGCTCAAGGAAATATCATTTAAACAAGTCTCGAAAGACCTGGAAAAAGAGAGTTGACTAAGAGTCATATGGCTTTTAAGAAAATAGCATAGGCCCGGCCGGTGTTGCTCAGTGGTTGAGCACCGACCTATGAACCAGGATGTCATGGTTCGATTCCTGGTCAGGGCACATGCCCAAGTTGCAGGCTCTATCCCCAGGGTGGGGTGTGCAGGAGGCAGCCAATCAATTATTCTCTCTCATCATTGATGTTTCTATCACTCCCTTCTCTCTAAAATTGATAAAATATATTTTTTTAAAAAGAAAATAGCATACAATATGTGTTTAAATTCTCATTACTTTAGCAAATATTTATTGAGTACCTACTATGTGCCCAGCACTGTTTGGGACACTGCATATATTTGTTGCCATTTTGCAGTGGTGCCTTTTAATGTCACAGTCAGGTCTTTTTTTAAATGAAAATACTGAAATTCCTGACCCATGTGATCACTCTTTGGAACATTTGGAAAAGGGAGGAGCCTTGGGGGTTGGGAATTGGGAGAGACTCCAGAGCATAGAGGGTCTGTGGGCGTAGACAGGTTTCATAGATGGGCCTCAGAAGGTTCTTGAACCTTCTAAAAACTATATGCAGTGTGTTCTGAGAAGAGAGAGAGAACTTTCATCAACTTCTCAGAAGGGGTTCCTGGTCCAGAAAAGTCTTAAGTACTGTTCATCCACATTAGAGATCATAACGGTACAGTAATTTTATCAGTGATACACCAAGCTCAGGGAGGTTGAGTGCCGCTGGTCATACATTTACTTAGTTAATGGCAGTTGAGAATTAGATCATGTCTCTCAAAGAGACTGTGTTGTCACTCCCGTAACTGGCTTCTATAATTAACGGGTTCATACTTAGGACTAACTTAAGAGTAGTTATGACAGCCATCACTGTATTTACTATAAGGTGGTGTCTTTATCTTGTTTTTCTTCTCTAGTTGTCCTACTTGCTAGTTAATTGGCCAAGGTAGGGCAGGACCAGTTCCTAGTTCACTTTCACTTTTTCTCAAAACGACCAGCACTGGAGAGCACAGGGGGAAGTAGGACGTGAGGCTTTCTCTGGAAAAATGGCATGGTTGGTCTTTCTCTGAAATTTTAATTTTGAGTTTCATGTCATCTCCAGTGACTCCTCAGGACCATGGCATTATGGGGGTGGTGGGATAGAAAGAACCCCTGTTGTGGACAAAGGCAGGCTGCCTTGGGAGTCTGGCTGCACAGGCAGGTCATCTGTAACGTGGTGATGGGGCTGCCTTGCAAGTGAGGACTTAGAAACCAGAAACAGCAAGGCCTCAGACACAGCAGAACAAGCCTTTAGGCATGTC